CCTCCGCCTAGCCGGGGGTCCCAGCGGCCAAGACGCCTCGTGGGGGGTGTGTGGGTCTCGAGCGGGCTGGGCAGCTCACCTCCCTTCGGCCTTCCCGCCTCTCTCCCCAGCGTGCCGGCGGCGCCTCGGCTTCGGGTCCCGGAGAGCGTGCTGAGCATGTTCCGAGAGGAGGAGGAGGAGGAAGCGGTGGTGGACGACGCCAGCAAACACGGGGGCCGCCTGAGGACCTTCCCCCACGAGCGGGGCAACTGGGCCACCTACGTCTACGTGCCGTGTAAGCCCCTTCGCCCCACTCTTCCCCCTGCCCTGCCGGTGGCGAGGCAAGGAGGGCCCGCCGGCTCTGACCTACCTACCTACCTACACACACCCCGCACGGAGGTCACTAGCCGGCCCAAGGCTGGGAATGGCCCTCTTTGGACGTCTCCCGGTTTCTCTGATCTGGTCGACAGACAACTGCCCTTCCTAAAGCGCTGGTTCCACAAGGTCTCCAGCCCATTGTTTGCTTAGTTGCTATTCTGCCTTTCTTCATAGATGAACCTCAGGAGGACTTTTGGGATCTCCTGCAGCTCCTCCTCTTGCACGCTCGCGTTTATGTGTCTTCGCTGACAACCATGACAGAGTTCCACATCAGCCTCTCTCAGAGTGTCGTCCTGCGCTATCACTGGATCAGTCCTTTTGTCTTGTCCCTCAAGGAACGTCTGGCAGCCTTCCAAAGGTAAGACAGTTAGGGATCCTCAGCACCATCTTTTCTGCAGTATGGGTGACTGACTGAGTGGGCCTGTTGAGGCGTACATGGAAGGAACACTTGTGCATGAATATTGACAGCCGGGCTTTGCCCCCAAGGAAAATCTGACACCTCAAAGATAAAGGAATCCAGAGGGCACATATGAGGTTCTTGCAGGCTATCATTTTGTTTGTTAAAAGTACATTTAAAAGGAATTTAAGTAATGCATCTGAATAACTGTTTATGCATTTAAAAGATCAATTGAAAATTAGCAAAAGGAGGGACGTGCGGAGAAGAGAGTAATGTGGGGCTCCTGGGAGAGGCAGATACTAGAGTTAGCTCCAGGTACTCAGCATTTCTACCCTCTGGTTCTTACTCTCCTTTCTGGGTGAGAAGGATTACCACTTTCCCGGATGGACTCTTTTATTTTATTAATTTGTTTATTTAACTTTGATCCTCTTTTTCTTCACTATTTTCAATCAGATTCATCTGCAGAGCTGACCAAGTAAAAGTTTACACCAACCAGACCAAAACCAGGTGGGTAAATGCCTGTGGATGTGCCCCTCACATGCTTGGAAGGAAAAATGCTAGTATTTTATATAAGTTTGTATACAGCTGTTTTTGCATGAGGACATGGTTGGCAGGAAACAATGAGAAAGCTAGAGGGTAGAAAGCAAGGGGGGGGGTCCCAAGTACCAGGAACTTGAACAGACCTTGCCTAAAACCTTCCAGTCTCCAGTGAACACACCACTCATACTTTCAAAGTACAAATCTGACTGGAAACTAAGCTGTTTCCAACCCAAGAGAGAAGCAGCTAGGCCCCTAGTCCACGTATTCTCTCCCATCACTGCTAGGAGGCATATGGCAAGTTTTAGACAGTTTGACTTCTGTGGTGACATTGGCCTCAACCAGTATGAGGTGTTTCTGCTCCTGTTTGTAACCTTAGCTGGTAAACTGAAAACTTGGTAACTGACCACTGTACTTCTTCAAGGAGTATGATTTGCATAATTTGAAAAGTGAGCCTTTGCTTTGTTCATTTTGACCTTGGATCCTTCTATGGACGCTGCCTACTTGGGCAGAGGTTTCCAGCATGGGTTTTTACTCGAAAGAGGTGCTCTGAGGTTTCCTCTTTAATTAATTCTTCCTACAGGACCTTCATTGGTTTGGCGGTCTCTTCTGGGCATTCTAACCTTTTGGAGTTGGTCTCTGAAGTGGACCGAGTTATGGAAGAATTTAACCTGTCAACTTTTTACCAGGTGAGTATTTCTGGGTTTTTCCAAATGGTTGCTGCTTAGTAGTAACAATTCTGAGGGGGAAGCACCCTGTTTTAAAAGAAACAGTTAAAATAAAACCGGCTTCCGATTTCCAGCAAAGGAAGGAAAGGGTGCTCTGCCACTGCTCATAAGTGTCAGTCAGGACTAAGAAATGGCTCTGCGGCACTCAGTTTGTCTGGCATACACAGTGGTGCCCGGCAAACTTGCACAGTACAAATCTTCCTGATCATTGGCACCTGGTTTTTCTTTGCATTTTGTACAGAATCCCTCATTCCATCTTAGTCTTGCATGGTGTGTTGGAAACCTTTCTGAAGCACTAGGAGGCCAATGTCTTCAGGAACTGCAGGTAATCAGTTCAAACGACGTGAAAATATCATTTGAAGGAAACTGCTGGCTTCAAGAACAGGCTTAACAGATCCTACTTTAAAACTGTGAAAGTGCAAAAGATAGCAGTTGATGACCATCATTTTACTACCTTTTCATCAGGGCACATTAGAGAGAGAGCATCACTGGTGTAATAGCCTCATAGGCACCTTTCTAGTCCTTTAAAGGGTGGAAGACAGACTGGGGTCAAGAGTGCTACATACAGGAGAAGATGTTCCCTTCTGCACACAGGGGCTGTCAGATCTAAAAGTCCAAACCAGCACCTTGAGTTCCGTCTCTGAACAAAACAGAGGTAATGGAACAAATGGACAGAAATGGGAGTGTGAAGTATTCCTTCCCAATTCCACACTTTTGTATGGTCATAATCCTGCTCCTCTATCGTGATTGACTAATCTCTCTCCCTCTCGGTCATTTCCAGGGGATTGTGGATGGCTCTGAGGACTCTTCTTATCTCCTGAGAATTCCTGGGACTGAGGTCCGTTGCAAGTCTGGCAAGAAGCTCTTCTCTTTCCCTCTGCGGTAGCAGCGAGCCAACAGACGATGGGCCTTGGTTGTTTTTTCTCTGTTGCGCAAGCTACAACCACGGAGCCACTGCTGGGTCTGTGTGAGGCTCCTACCAGCATAATCGGCTCAAGCGTCATGCAGCCTCAGCCGCCTCCTCCCTTGCAGACACAGGCGGCGCTCTGTGGGCATGTCAGAAGAGGCGCTGCATTCATGACTCCTGTTTCCACCAGTAGGATTGGTGCCCGACCTGGGACTTGTGTACCATGAGCATTTGACTGAAAACGATGTTCTGCTAGCGTGGAAGACAGCCAAGCTTCTTCGCACACGTTGGGGCTCCTGCTGTGGAGCAGCCTCACATGGAGAAGCTCCCAGGATAAACTCTGGACAGCCTGAAAGGTGGTCAGCATCCACAAAGGTGATGCTGCCCTCAAGAAGGGCCAGCGCTCCAAACTGGCAGTCTTTGGGGTAACAAGCCTGCTAGTTCTTGGGCTGATTTGTTAACTGAAAATGTATATAATGAAGAATAAAACTGGGTATATGTTCACAGATTAAAAAGCTAAAGACGTATGAATTGGAGATGAGGGGAGAGGAGAGTAGTGTTGATTTTTTTTAAAATCAACACTGCTCTCCTGTGGAGGGGGCCAAGAGGCATCAGGCAGCAAGAGCCTTTGGCTGTTGGAAGAAGCCAGTTCCACCAGACCATCCACCCCTGTACATCTTGAAGGTCTACAGCACGTTCTCCTCACCACTGGATCTAAAACATCCCCTGGAGGAGGCAGTGGCGGCCACAATACCAAAACCAGTGTTAAAAAGCAAATCAAATTTAATAGCAGCTTCCAGCATGGGAATCGTCCCCACATATTTGGAGCATACATCAAAACAGGATGTGAAGAGCACAGAAGGAAAGCCATTGGCATCTGCAAGGGCACAAGGGTCCCAGAGTTGGGTCTAACAAAGCCTTCTACAGGTACTCGGGCCCCACAATTCATGTTCTCTTTGTGGATGTTCTTAAACCACAAGCTTGATGGTGCGTCATTTCTTAAATGGAACAGTGACCTGGGCAGGGGTGTCCAGACCCAGCATTACAGATGCCAACCTTTATTAAATAAAGTTATCCTACATAAATCAACACCTAAATTTTGTTAATTATAAAACCCTTCTTCCACCCATCTTCACAGCGCATCCCTCAGAGGGCTTCCTAAGGCGTCGTCATTGCTGTGTGGGAAAGAGATGGACAAAAAGACCCTTATTCAAAAAACATTCAAGTGGCTAAATCTTAACCTGAGCAGAAAAATACTTCTCTTTGTGCAAAATATCCCTTCTAAGTAGGCTGTATGTGTCTTACGTCTGTGCACACATGCAGGAGGAGGTTTTCAAAGGCTAGATCCTAATTGAATTACCAGTGGAAATGTGGTTTACAAAGGAAGGCACACCTCCTCTGGGTGACATGGAGGCCCCGTGGGGGGGGGGAGGTGTCTCTTATGTGTCTTCACCACAGCAGCACCACTGTGGGCTCTCTCTCTTTTCAGCTCAAGCTGTTTGCTTGATTCAGAGAGGCCGCAGGTCAAACCCCCTCTTAGATGTGACATCCCTACTTTGTCTTAATGAATTTGTTCAAAGAGTTCAGACTTTCCAACAGCTCTTGGGACTGTAACCTCACAAAGCATCTGAAGATAGCTCAAGTCATGCAACAGAATCCCCAGGTCTCATACCCAGCTAGGCTGGCTTTCTCACTAGTGCTTTCATTGCCCTTCATCCCAACAAACACCACGGTAGTGAAGTGTGCTTTTCTCACCCGTGAAAGCAACTGTCTAGTCACAGCTGATTCCTTAGAGAAGGAGGCCAAATGTAACCAAGAAGATTCACCCTTGTGCTGTGGGAGGAAATTTCCTTCCCACTTCCCAGCACGAGAGCCGGTTAGAATCGGCAAGATGTAAACACAACAAAGGGACAGTTCTCCAGGGCAGGGACCAAGACTGCCCGGCACCCTCTCTGAACTAAAGGCTGCTCCTAGGCCTCAGGATGGGGACTGGCCTGTTCCTGGACTCAGACTGCAGAATATTTACATAACAGGCTCTGCTCCCACAACAAACTTAACAAGCATTACTCTTCCCTGACTGCATCTCCCTCCCCAGCAGCTCACCTTGGCCTTGTTCTGAACTGGAATGTACAGCTTGAATTCAGCAGGAAGCTCATCTTCCGAGTAGAGTCTGTCGGAGAAGTAAATTCTACGAATGCGACAGTTTGCGTGGATCTAAAAAGGAACAAAAGCTGAAAGTTGCAGGACCTCTGAAATCTGCCTTTTTCACCCACTGTCAGCCCATTCCCAAACCCAGTTTGTTGTGAGGAGATCCTGAAAGACATTCAGTTATCAGACAGCAAACCTTGGATCCAGGTTTCTGCAGAAACAGCAATACCATGAAAGTTTTGTCCCAACTACTCAACCAGGCAGAGCAAGTAACAGGCAGGACCATGCTCTGTGCAAGTGTCTCGTCACTCATCTCCTACTTCATGGCCTTTGGAAAATGGGCCAGGCGCTGAACATCATTAGCATACTAGCACCATGTGAGGCAGAACTCCATTCTGGTACTTTCTGTTTTGCTCTTGTTTGTTTTTTGGATAGGTGAATCTCTGCAGGCTGTGCAGAGCCACCTTCCAGGAAGAAATCGGGATCGGCCATTTGCAAAACCAGCCCAGCGTACCTGACCTGGAAGATTGTAGACAGACACTTGCAATCTTGTCCCTGGCTGGATGCACACAGTATCGGCACCCATACAAGTTTGTGTAGATGCTGTGATGCCAGTACGCCATTCCTGCCAACTCTCAAGCTGCTTAGGCCAGTTCACTTTGCTTTTTAATTAAATTTAAATCCAGTACATAACTGCAAAATCCCTAGAATGCTGGCAATCTAAATTTGCTTTTAGAAGGAAGCACCCTAACATCTCCTCCTGTTACTGGTCACAGTAAGGCCCGCAACCGCTTCAGAAAAGACAGGCAAATGGGGTTTTGAGCCAGCCAGGCCCAGGAAGCAACAGAGAATTATTAAAAAGTTCTCCACTGATCTCTCACAGATCCAAAGGCAGCAGGAGGAGCAGCCAATGCAAAGGGCATTTCCTCCCAAGAGGAACCAAACGGGGAGTCTACAACATTCCTTACCTGGACTCGTAAGGTCTCAATGTAGTTAGTCCCATACGCTCGTCGTGTGAAGTCGGACAGGTTGAACTGAATCTGGTTCCAGCCATCATCCAGGCGCATCGGCATGGTGCAAATGAATGGTTTGACACGGGTCGTGCTCTGGTAGTTGCTGGCACGGAATCGCCGGCGTACATTTTTGTCATCCAGAACCTAGCACAGACAGACAGCCTTCCTGTCATGAAAAGGGGAGGGGGCAAGTCTGTCCAGAAGGCAGTGGGGCTCTTTTAGTAGGAATTCAAGCCAACAGCAAGCCGCCTGACAACCAGGATGGGCTGGCTGCACCAGAAGGGGTTTCCAAGGCATAAGCTATCCAGCATCAGTCCCCTAAGCACCTGATCTTCGTGTTGAGAAGAGCCTGGAAAAGGAATGAGCCTGCCAAAGCTAAATCTCCAACTCAGCAGAAAGCTTTGACCCAGTGAAGTAGAAGCAACAGGATTCCCTCTCAGGGCATGGTGAGGAAAGCCAATGGCTCTGCCTACTGAATACTGTCACACTCTGGACTAGTTCGGGGCATTACTAACCTGCACTTCAAAGGTAAAGTATTTCTTCAGGTTCTTGATTATCATCACCAGAAAGGGTAGCTTGATCCCTAGTGTCTTCTTTGGATCAGCAGGACATGTGATGTATGTGGTACTGAGTGAGAGAGAAGCAGGACAACTAATAGGTATTGACCACACAAAGGTTATTCTTACAGCTATATTATTATTATTATTAGTTTTATTTATATGCTGCATTTCTCCTAACAAGGGACCCAAAGCAGCTCACATTAAAATTCACACAATTTAAAAATAAGTTAAATGCTAAGAGATAAGTTAAATAAAATATGATTTAAAATACAATTAAAATATGAAAATATGAAAACATGAAAAAGATTGAGGTTATCCGCTAAAATGGGGTTCAGCGATATACAGTGGTAAGGAAAAGACATTCCTCACAGAGTTGGGAGGAACCTCAATGGTCACCTAGGCTAGAGAGTCTTAATCTTTGGCTTTCTAGATGTTCTGAATATCAACTCCCAGACTCCCTTTCCAGCACTCACACTGGCTGAGGTTTCTGGGAGCTGAAGTCCCAAAAAAAACCCCACAAAAAAACCAAACCCACACACACAAAAACCACGAAGGCAAAAGCTCAGAACTCCTGATCTACGTAGCATAGCTCCCTGGTCAAGGCATGCTACAATTAGAGCCTTCCTGGGAGACTGCTGTCCACCTTTTGCATGAACACCTTGCGTTCATGCAAAACTGGCACCACCTCCCCAGTTTTTGAGAAGGCTGAAGGCGCAAGCAGCCTGATGTCCTGGCAACCTCCAGCATGATTCAGACAACACACAGGCAACATGAACTGCTTCTCTCACTCCCAGGTTTATCATACGGCGGCACCAATGGCTATTCAACAACTGACTTTCACGGAGGTGGTTTTGCTGGCCTCTGGAAAGCAGAAAGCCTTGATTTCTGGATGTAAATTTTGAATGGGCAGATCAAAACTGGACCCGAATTCCCCCTCCATACCCGAGTATCATCCTCAATAGGAGAGGAAAGGCGCTGGTTGTTCCTTACCTGACATTGGTTCCTTCAATCTCCAGCACCAGCGACTGAATATCATTATCTGTGATTCTTTTGATGTGACCATTCCGCACCTGGAGGAAGGGGGAGGAAGCAACCCATCAGTCCTTGAGCAGCAGGCCTCCTCCTTGCACTGGAGCACCCTGCCATAAAGAAACACTCCCTCGCGGCAGCGGATAAAGCAAGACCCAGCCAGGGCTGAAGGCAGGCATGAGAAAGCACAAACAGAGCCCACCCAAAGAGCCCAAAGCATTCCTGTTTGAATTGCTTCCACAACACGTTTTCAAAGGCATGTTTGTGTTTCCTGACAATGGGAAAAGGCTGCTGGCAACTAAGCGCTGGAGGGATTCAAGGGCCATCTCGGGAAGAGTCAAGCCTCCTCTGCTGAAATCACTGCCAGCCCAACTGGCTCTCTGGAGGCTGCAAGGGCTCGCCGCGTCACCCGACTGGAGCACTTTTGGCAACCTCAAGTGTTCCTCAGCTCCTTCACTGGGGAAAAAGATGGACGGATGAATTCCCTGAGACCTAAATAAAATCCAGGCCTCATGTCTGAAAGGGTCCACATGGGATGAGCAGTCCTCTAAGCTTTGTCCTCCACTGTCCGCACGCTGCTGAAGATCACTCAGGCTGTCCAGCGATAGACAGGAAAGGATGACCAAGCTGATCAGTTGGAGTTGGAGTAACTACCCCAAAGGAAGGACACATGTTGTGGACTTTTCAGGTCACCAAAAAAGAGAGGTAAGAATATGGTACATGTTTGTAAAACTGTGCATAGCCAGGAGAAGGCAGACACAGTTAAATCTCTCCTCTCTCTCACAAAATTCTAGAAACCAGGGTGGCCCAAGAAAACGATGCCTTCTTCAGACAGGACAGGGGGCAGCTGCCGGGTGGGGAGCCACAAGATGCGGTGGAACGGCTGAGAGGGTTCCCAAAGGGATTAAAAAGGTGGAGGAGAAAGTGTCCAAAGAAGAACCGCTACGGAGAGGGTCCCCGTGCCCACCCTTCGCAGCAACACCGGCAAAGAAAGCATCTCGGGGCTCTTGGGGGCGATCAGCCAGCGGGTGAGCTTTTGCAGGTGGGAGTCCCATCTGGGGTGTGTGTGTGTGTGTAGGGGGGGCAAGGGGTCTCTGGAGGCCCACGGGCCCTGCCTCGGAGGAAGGGGGCGGCGGGCCACATCAAGCTCCTGCCCCCCAGAAGGGGCTGCTCTTCCAGGGGCCGACGGGGACCCCCCACCCCTCCCCTCTGCCCAGCGCAGAAGATGCAAGGGCCTCGCCGCCTCCCTCCCTCGACCCGCCCGCCCCC